CATGGGTGGAAGGGACCCAAGGACTTGGGCCATCTTCCACTGCTCTTCCAGGTGCATCAGCAAGGAGGTGAATTGGCAGTGTAACAGGTGGGACTTGAACTGGCGCCCATACGGGATGCCAGCATTGCAGGTGGCAGTTTTACCTGCTACGCCACAACACTGGCCCCTAAATTTTCTAATATTCTATCCACGTTAACTATCACCTGGAAATACAAGGTACAAAAGCAAATAGGAGTCATAGATGAAGATGAAATCTAAAACCTGAGAAAGAAACTGATTTGAGTGAAGAGGCACAGATTCAGACATTCAGAAGAAGTCATCCAAATTCACGGGCAGGGAGGTTTGGGGCTGAGCCCACAACGGGAGGAGAGCGATTTCCAAAAGCTTCAATAAATTTTCTAAAAACTAATCAGAATATTAGTTACTGAACTTATAAAGCAATTTCCTCTTTATAGTTATCCACTGTCATTCATCTATATATCAAAGAATTGGAAATTCACATTTTGAGACTCTGGAGATGATAGGCAAAAAAGGAAAAGAAATACAGAGTTCATTACCACATTTAAAGAGAGGAATTAAGGATGGAGGGGAGAATGGCAATTAAAAAAAATATCATCGGCTGGCACTGAGGTGTAGCGGGTAAAGCCGCTGCCTACAGTGCCAGCAACCCATGTGGGCGCCAGTTTGAATTCTGACTGCTCTACTTCTGAGCCAGCTCTCTGCTGTGGCCTGGGAAAGCAGTAGAAGATGGTCCAAGTCCTTGGGCCCCTGCACCAGCATGGGAGACCTGAAGAAGCTCCTGGCTTTGGATTCGGGTAGCTCTGGCCATTGCACCCATCTGGAAAGTGAACCATTAGATGGAAGACCTCTCTCTCTCTGCCTCTGCCTCTCTGTAACTCGGCCTTTCAAATAAATAAATCTTTTAAAAAAAAATCATCACAGTTGCAAATGATCCAGCAGCAAGTCAAAACAAAGATACACAGCCAGTGAAACACAACATAAAGAGAATATTGAGTGAGCTGAACTATGTGTTAAGTGGTTCCATTAATTTAACAAGAACAAAATTTATTAAAGTCACCAAAGTACTGGAAAAGTCATTCTTTCTAAAATGAGAGAAACGTCTTTCCTTTTAAAGTCAGATTATGCTTTCATATAGAAATATTTAGGTTCAACAAATTAAAACAACCTTTTAAAAAAACTCTGAATAAAGTAGTATTCTCTACTTCTTGGGTCAACTCCAAAAGTAGCTGGGGAATATGGACCATTATTTCATCGAATACTCTTCGGTCTCCCCTACAAGGTACACTTTGGGATGGAGATAAATTAAGTCCCTCTGATATAAAAACTGTTCCATCCAGAAGCTATTTCAAGATGCTCTCAACAGGCTATACCTGGTAGAGCCAACTCAATGATTCATGACCTCCAACACTAAATTTAGGATTATGTGCCAAACACAACGCATCCCACACTCTTGTTTTGGGTCATAGCAACATTTCATTATGAAAACCAGAGCTACAAACAAAATGTTCCACCCCAACAGTCTCTGGTTCATGAGAACTGACAGTCTCTTGTTCCATCCCCATGACAACTGCCCTAAGGTCTCTATAAAACAGAGGTGGTTACAGCAGGCCACATACTTGAAATGCTGAACGAATCAGTAAAACGCCTAAGTACCTACAGAACATAAAGCCAGTGGTCATCGAGGCTGATTATGCCCCTCCTTCTATTGCCAAAGGTCAGATTCAGCTGCTGAGCACTCATCCGACAAACATCTGCTGAGCCGTGATCCTGCCAGACACCAAAGATAAGACAAGACGGAGCCCCGTCTGCAAAGGCAGGCCTGTGAAGCCGTCAGACATGGAATCAGCAAGTCACACAAGATCACTGGCCTAAAGGAGTTGTTATTGCCAAGATGCTGAGTCCACAGAAGAAATGCCAGCAGTCTGTTCCGTTCTGTTCCATTGTGAGGGAAGGGCAAGAGTTCCAGGAAGACTTCACACAGGTGGACAAAAACACTCAAGAAAGAACGAAGAAGTATTTGCCAGGCAGGAAGCAGAAAAAAACGAACACCTCACAACTTAGTATAAGGAACTACAGATATTTTAGTAAAACTACTTCATTTTAATGTTGACAAAATCCACAAGATGACATTAGCATGTTTAATCAAGAGGCATACAACTGCTGAGTGGTAACATTGAAACCAGATCTCCACCCATGTCCCCTTGTTTCTGATCACTACACCTTATTAAGAATAGTTACAGGGGCCAGCGCCGTGGCACAGGTTAATCCTCCACCTGCGGCGCCAGCATCCCATATGGGCGCCAGTTCTAGTCCCGGCTGCTGCTCTTCCAATCCAGCTCTCTGCTGTGGCCTAGGAAAGCAGTAGAAGATGGCCCAAGAGCTTGAGCTCCTGCACCCACATGGGAGACCAGGAAGAAGCTCCTGGCTCCTGGCTTTGGATCGGCACAGCTCCGGTCGTTGCAGCTATTGGGGAGTGAACCAATGGACAGAAGACCTTTCTCTATGTCTCTCCCTCTCACTGTCTGTAATTCTCTCAAATAAATAAATAAAATCTTAAAAAAAAAATAGTTACAGACTTCATAATCTTACAAAAGAGATCATTTTGAAGGAAGTTTTTTTTATAGGATCACACTGCTCAAATCCAAGTAAAGCATACATTGATTCTAAAAATACACCACATTCCCTGCTTTCATATATTACCTTTACATTTACTGATAGTTATAAAATTACTAACATCCAAATAGGTAGCACCCTTCTGTTTTAATTTTTAAATCTTTTTTTTTTTTTTTATTTATTCGTAAAGGCTTTTTTAGACAGGCAGAGTGGACAGTGAGAGAGAGAGACAGAGAGAGAAAGGTCTTCCTTTTGCCGCTGGTTCACCCTCCAATGGCCGCCGCTGCAGCCGGCGCACCGCGCTGATCCTGGCAGGAGCCAGGAGCCAGGTGCTTTTCCTGGTCTCCCATGGGGTGCAGGGCCCAAGCACCTGGGCCATCCTCCACTGCACTCCCTGGCCATAGCAGAGAGCTGGCCTGGAAGAGGGGCAACCGGGACAGAATCCGGCGCCCCAACCGGGACTAGAACCCGGTGTGCCGGCGCCGCAAGGTGGAGGATTAGCCTATTGAGCCACGGCGCCGGCTCCTTCTGTTTTAATTTTTAATAAGAATCATTCCTCTATTAATATATTATTTAATTTCATAATGTTGTATTAGCAAGGTGACAAAAAACAGACACTGAAATGTCAGTGGTAGTAGTCTAGCGATACTTCCATGACCCACAAGTGGAGTTAATGACACAACTTACAAGACTGACCAATCACTGCCGCACTGTAACACTCCAAATTAAATGTAATCTGAATATTCAATCAAAAATTTGTTAAATAAATTAAGGCAAATTAATAAAATAAGCCAGAGCTACCAGTTGAGACAAGCATTTTAGTAAAACACTTGTGTGACCTGGATCAGAGCACTGACAGCTAAACAGAAGTTGACAGCATCCAGAGAGAGCAAGGAAGTACATAGGAGGCGGCAACAAACGGAATTCAGGTGAGAACTCAGGGAGAGGGCAGAATCAGGAGTTAACTGGGAGTGAACCAGGGGATCAAAGATCCCTCCTCTCTGTGTCTCCCTTTAACTCTGACTTCCAAAATAAGTAAATCTTTAGGGGAAAAAAAATCATTCAAAGATATAACTCAGAGATCTTAGGTTTCACCTACAATTTATACACGATGCCTAGGCGCTAAATATATTTGTTAAATGAATAAAATCTTTGTATTTAGTGATAAAAACTTGAAGAAGTTTATACTAACAACTGTGAAACATACTTGACTGTGATTAAAAAAAAAAAAAAAAAGCTACTTAAGGCCACAAGCATTTGGAGTGAACCAGACTAAGATACTTCAGAACAAAAAGTAAATGAGGAACAGTGTCCAAGTAAGAGCACACTCGAGTGCTTACTAGAATTTGTGGTTATTTCAGAATTGCTGAACGCCTCCTGACTGTGGTGTGGGCCCTGGTAATCTACTGCTGAGTGGTTTTCTTAGACATCACGTTAGTACACCAGAACTAAAACGAGATCTGGCTCTGGCATAAAGACAGTAGCTGACCTTTAAGCACTGGAAGCTTTATTGAAGGGGGAGGGAGACCAACAACCCAGGTGCTCCCTGAAGCAAAAGACCTTCCATCAGGTCTGGCATTGTGGCGTAGCAGATAAAGCCGCTCTTGCCGCCTGAGACACCAGCATCTCATTTGGCCACCAGTTCGAGTTCCAGCTGCTCCACTTAGGATTCAGCTCCCTGCCAATGGCCTGGGAAAAGCAGCGGAAGATGGCCCAAATGCTTGGGCCCCTGACACCCATGTGGGAGACCCAGAAGAAGCTCCTGGCTCCTGGTTTCCACGTGGCCCAGGCCCAGCCCCAGCCAATGCAGCCATCTGCGGAACGAACCAGCAAATGGAAGCTCTGTCTCTCCCTCCCTGTAATTCTGACTTCAAATAAATAAATCTTAAAAAAAAAGACCTGCAATCTATTCCAGACTTTAGAGCAGGATGTCCTCACCTACAGGGGCTGGCAACAAACAGTTGACTTTGGTTGTTTATATTGACAAGCATTAGAAACTAAGTACGCAAAAGACAATAATACAAGTTTCAGAAAAAAAGCTAATGTATTCTTATATTATAAAAAATCACCAAATATTGACATTAAGAGAAAATTAAGGTTTTGAATAAAAGAAATGGCGACACGGTAATAAGTGCAAGCAGTGAAGGTCTGAAATAGATTCAACCTAAAATTCACATAACTTGTCAAATCTTCAAACTCATAATCTGTGTCAAAGTTTAGATGATTTGGTCAACATTTATCTAGATAATACATACAAATTTATATCATAGTCAAATTAACAAGCTTCTAAATGTGTAGTAGATAGGAAAATTCCAACCAGTGAAAAAAGCTCAAGAAAGCAAAAATCAATAAAATCAGTTCTTTACCTGCAGCTCCTTTGAGACTCTCTCTAAGTGATTAGTTATCTTTTTAATCAGATCACTATACATCTGTTCTGAGTGCTGCTGGCATACACATTTATACACACAACTGCAATAAAAACAAACAAAACACAAAAACCAAGTAAATGATAAAGCACTTAACTCAGTCTCAAGTCAAAGCACATTTCTGATACACAGCCACTGCTCAAATAACTAATGCAGGCCTGAAATGTGACCAATCCTGACTTTTAAATAAAAATTTGTCTTCCCCCAATCATGTTCAGGTAGAAAAGATATTAAAAACAGGGCAAGTGATTTCCTTTGAGTGGTCTATTACATTTTTAATCAGTACTAGGTAACCTAATAGTGGGTGATAAATCTATGGCCTGATATGGTAACAGTTTATCAACCAGGTGCTCTCTCATTGTTTTCCTAATAAGTATCAAAATCAGGAAAAGAGTGATAATCAGCGGAGAAGAAATTTCCAACTCACAAAACTGTTTGCTGCCGGCGCCGTGGCTCAATAGGCTAATCCTCCACCATGCGGCGCCGGCACACCGGGTTCTAGTCCCGGTTGGGGCGCCGGATTCTGTCCCGGTTGCCCCTCTTCCAGGCCAGCTCTCTGCTATGGCCAGGGAGTGCAGTGGAGGATGGCCCAGGTGCTTGGGCCCTGCACCCCATGGGAGACCAGGAAAAGCACCTGGCTCCTGGCTCCTGCCATCGGATCAGCGCGGTGTGCCGGCTGCAGCGGCGGCCATTGGAGGGTGATCCAACGGCAAAGGAAGACCTTTCTCTCTCTGTCTCTCTCTCACTGTCCACTCTGCCTGTCAAAAAAAAAAAAAAAAAAAAAAAAACTGTTTGCAATACAACCTCTGTGTACATCAGTTGTGTGGCCTAACAAAGCTGCCACTTTCTCTCCCTGTCACTGTGCTGACTTCATGTCCCACCCCAGTTCCTAATTTGCTGCTTCCATTTACTGGGAGCTGAGAAACAAAATATTCAGACAGAGTCAGGATGTGTGTCAACAAACAGATTAAACCAGAATCTCCCTTCAGTCACTCTTGCTTTCTTAGCTGCCCTCCTAGGTGTCTGTCTGCCTATGTGCAGAGGCGGCAGGATGAGCTGCAAGTCTAACACAATGCAGTTTACTCTATCTTGATTTGAAAATCACCCTGGAACCCTAAAGGTGTAAATCAAACCTCCCCTCAACAAACATTAAATACATACACAGCCTGACCCTACATATTATGTGTTACACATTTATACTTATGTATACATCATAACCAAGTTGTCTGAATGTCAATATAACCTTTCAAACCCAGGCAAATTAAAGCTCGACTTACCTGTATATCTGTTCATAGGATATGGGGATATAGTCACCAGGACTCTGGGTTAAAAGTTGATCTATGGCACCATCCAATTTTGGCCAGTATGTGCTCTTGTAATCTTCAATAGTTATAACATTCATTACTAAAAGTAAAAAAGTAAAATAATATTTACTTATGCTACACATAAACTACAGCAAATTTTTATTCTCACATTCCTATAACACTTATTACTAAAAGCAAAAAACAGCACTGTGTGCCAGGCACAAACAAACACAAATCACAGCAATCCTGCGCTCTCAAATCCTTTGACTTTTCTGATTTTACACTGACACTCCATCATCTAACCAGCCCATTTCAACTTAAAAAAAACACACACACAACAACAACCACCACCTGGAGGAGGCATTTAGTCTAGCAGTTAAGACGCTTGCCTTCCACATCGGAGTACCTGGGTTTGATTCTCAGTTCTGGCTCCTGATTCCAGTTTCCCACCAAAGCAGACCCTGGGAGACAGTGGTGATGGCTCAAGTAAGTAGATTCCCTCTACCCTTGAAAGAGACCTGGACTGTGTCCCAAGCTCCTTGTCTCATCCAGCCCTGGTAACTGGGGGCGTTTGGGGCATGAAGCAGGGGGTGGGAGCTCTATCTGTTTTTGTCTGCTTCTCAAATTCAAAAAAGTTATTTTAAAACTTTCTAAAAAAGCAATCTGGTTAGAGATATTAAGCAGCCATTAATCATGAGTTTAAAAGGAATTAACTATGAATCTGCCCATTTTTAAAAATCACAACAAAAAAAGCAAATATCAATGGTTTCCATCCCAGTTCTCTATAAGCTGCTGTCATCAGTCGAGCATTCAAAAGATGCTCGCTCTCTCTCTGCCTTTCAAATAAATATTTTTTTTAAATGTTCTGACCCTCAGATATACAATTATGTGACAAAATGGCACAAGAACCACAAGAAGGTTCTAACACAATGCAGTTTACTCTATCTTGATTTGAAAATCACCCTGGAACCCTAAAGGGTTCCAGGCAATCGTTACAAACATCCCCAGGAAAATGCATCTAACAAAAGGGCTATGGGGAACTCTGCAGTCATAGAAGAGACAGCGTACCAGCAGCTCCTCTGAGATCCGACTTGAGCTCTTCTCTTGGCCTCTGTCTTCAACTTGATAAGCCCCCAAAAGTCAATGAATGGATCAGAGCCTTACGTCGAAGGCCTACCCCACTCCTTGGGACAGGCTCTCACTCCTCCACTCGTGTAGGTTTACAAAGCATTTATAACAGCTGCTCCTAACAACCCAGGAGTGACAGCTGCTTCCCAGAGATGAAATGTGAACGTTAAAAAAGAATTTCCAAAGAACCCATGGAGAGACTGTCTCCTGAAGCAGTTAGCTCAGGAGACAAGAGCTAGTGACGACCAGATCAGGCATCTTACAGCGAATTTTACCTGGAGGGTAGAGAGGAGTGCAACTCCTCCAAAAACACATGGTGAATTCTTGGCAGAGGCATCGGGTAAAACAAAAACTTGTCCCGGTAACTTTCTATCTCAGTGTTCTGTGTGGCACTGATTTCCAAACCTTAGTCATTCAGATCCATGTCTCTTTTCCTATCTGCATACCACCTATATCATTTTTATTTAATGAAAGAATTGACTAAATTTACTTTTGCTTTTTACTTACAATTTGCTTTAATGGATATTTGAGAAATGAACTACTAATTCATACAACATGGTATAATCTTAAATGCATTTTGATAAATGGAAACACCAGCCCCAGAAGACTGCATATTCTAAGAATGCCACTTACACAACACAAACAAAAACCACGGAGAGGAACACAGACCGGGGCTGCCAGGGGCTGGAAGGTGAGAGGATTACCTGCACGGGGGCAGTATGGGGGATTCCAGGGCAATGGACTGTTCTGTGGGGGAACTGTGGGAGTGAACACACCACACCATGCACTTGTCAAAACCAATACAACTGTACTCCATAAAGTGAATTTATGTATACATATTTTTAAAGAATCAGCCAGGCCATAGTGGCAACAATGGAATGCAAACTGTGAGACATGAATTTCATTTAGAATGAATCATAACCCCTACTGAAGAGTCTGAGAAGGAAAGTAAAAACACAAAGATTGTACGTGCCCAGACACACAAGCCAGCAAGCGGGAGGCCAGATGACGGGCCTGACAGGACACAATGCGGACTCCTACTTCCACTCTGAGTAGCTGGGGGCCTCTGCAGGGTTCTGAGCAGCGGAGTGACCTAATCTGATGTGAGCTGTACATGGATCATTCTAGCTGCTGGGTGGAGAATAAACTAAATGAGGAGACTGGAGCTGACAGCAGGGTTGAGCCAGGTGGTGGCACCAAGGATGACAGGAGAGGTCAGATTCTGAACTGTTTAAAGGCAAAACCAACAACATTTGCTGACAGGATGATGTGAGATGGGAGAAAAGTGTTGAGGATGACTCCAAAGTTTTTGGCCTGAACACCAAAAGACGGGGCTGTAATTCAAGAAGATGAAGAAGACTTCAGGAAAAGCCTATTTTGTCTCTTGGTGTCCTGCCTGTCAGCCCTGTCCACATGTGGGACTACCATGTCTCAATGTTCTGTGTGGCTGCCAGGACCTGCTGTGGCCGCAGGCCAACCAATGCCCCTGGAGGCACCTTCAACCCATGCCACTCAGGATTTGGTATCACTAACCCAGAGGCTCCTTCTGTTCTTAGGTGAGACACCCACTGCAGTCAAACTCCACAATGGTGACTCACCTCACCTGGCTCCTTATCTCCCCCATCTCAATTCCCCCACCATCTCTACATGTACTTCCTGGAATCACTTCCTGTACTTAAAAAATACTTGTAGCCCCCTCAAAAAAGTTTGGGGGAGGCTATTAAAAATAGAAAAGGCCGTGGGGCCAGCCTTGTGGCGCAGCAGGTACACTGCCTGTAATGCTAGCATCCCATATAGGCGCCGGTTCACGACTGGCTGCTCCACTTCTCATCCAGCTCTCTGCTAATGCACCTGGGAAAGTAGCAGAAGATGGCCCAGGTCCTTAGGCCTCCACCACCCATGTGGGAGAACCAGAAGAAGCTCTGGGCTCCTGGCTTCAGCCTGGCCCAGACTTGGCTTTTGTGACCATTTGAGGAGTGAATCAGTATATGAAAGATTTCTTGCTCTCTCTTGCTCTCACTCTATCTTCCTTTCTGTGTAAATCTGCTTTTCAAACAAATAAATCTTCAAAAAAAAAAAAAAAATAGAAAAGGCCTGGCACTTGCCAGTAAACAGAAGGCGTTACAAAAACAATTATAATGTTATGAAATGCTCTAGCTACTTCTAGAATTTCATAACATCAAACAACACGCAGCTACCTGCTAAAGGTTCAAAGTCTGAAGATAGTTTTCCCTGTTAAGAGATTGGCAGATGTCGACAAGTGTTACACGCTAGCTCCAAAATGCATATGTAATCAGAACGATTCAGGGAAAACTGAAACAGAAATTGCATTCCCATTCTGTGACTCTGCATCACTGCTCCCATGTCACTGTACCACCTAAGCCACATCGAAGCCGGGACTGCAAAAAGGTAAGTGGCATGCTCAAAAAGAAAGCTGTCAGCAGAGAAACACCAAGACCATCAATCCCACAGGCCCCCGCACTGCCCAGCTCAATGCGCTGCAGCGGGGGAGCCCTGCGCCTTCCCCAGCACGTCTGCACTTCTTCCCACTCAGCAGAGCACCGAGTCGGACAGCAGCAGGGGAGGACGCGCGCGCGCAACTGTGAAGCCCTGCAGCGCTGAGGACAGCATGGAGACTCCCTACAGAGCAGTGACTGCTGACGCCCTCATGGTCGAGCACAAGGCCTTCCGGGCAGGTGTTTGGCACAGCAGTCAAGGCACTGCTTGGCACCCTGAATCCCTTACTGGAGTGCACGATTCAAATCCCAGTTCCACTCTCCATTCCAGCTTCCTGCTAATTTACACCCACTGGGAGGCAGCAAATGATGGCTCAAGTAGCTAGGTGCCTGCTCCCACACGGGAGACCTGGACTGAGTTCTGGCTGCAGCCTGGCCTAGGCCCAGAAGGTGCGGACTTCTGCAGAACCAGCGGATGGAAGATCTCTTGCTCCTGCACACTCTTGCTTTCTCTCTCTCTCCCCCGCCACATCTCCCTGCCTTTCAAATAAAATGAAAATGAATTTTTCAAAAATTTAATGCTCTATTTTAAAATCTATAAAAAATTTGAAAACCAAGATGAGAAAATCAAGAACAGCAGAGAAGCTTAAAGCCTATTTCTGTTTACACACACACACACACACGTAATATAAAATATACACCTAGCCCCACAAACATTTTACTTGAAAAATGAACAGGAAGTCAATTCAGTTGTGCTTACATGCTAGCTACCAGAACTTTCTTAGTGGAGGAGCAGTCAGTCTTCAATAGAGGAGAAAAGGGCACCTCACCTGGGCAGCCGCAGAAATGGGCACCAGCTGTATACACCCTCAGCCAGACATTAGCAAGGTTCTTCACACAAGCCTCAGTCAACACTAAACTTGTAATCGGGGAAACTTCCAGGTGTTAGTTATTTCCTTGCTAATCTAAACCCAATCCCTAACTTAAAGAATTAAAACACAAACTACCAGCTGTTTATTTCGCATCTGACACATACAGCCTCAGGAGGGGTATGTGTGTGCATGTGCACCTGTCTATGGTCTTGTTTAAACTGTATCCTCTTGTTAGAGAAACAATCACCGTGGACTTTTTCCACAGAAAAGTCTCAAAAACCAAAAGAAATTCATTCCATCTTAGAAACAGCTAACCCACTAATTTTAAAAGGTGACAGGGAGTTCCAACATGAACTGATCTTAGGAGACTTGCATCATTTAGATAGTATTTTTCAAATTTTTGTTTCTTGATTTAAGGAGTTCAGTTTTAAGTGCATATCAGATCACCAAGAGGAAAAAAATCACTTATAATTCCACCAAGAACACTGGTATACAAAGTCTTCTCAATGTACATTCTCTGTGGTTAAAGAGTATATGCAGAGGCCAGCGCTGTGGCGTAGCAGGTAAAGCCGCCACCTGCAGTGCTGGCATCCCATATGGGCGTTGATTTGGGTCCTGGCTGCTCCTCTTCCGAATCAGCTCCC